TGCCTACGAGTGTTTTACTCTCCTATGAAATAGATAGATGTATGTACTTTTAATGAATTTGAAAGAGATAGACCAAATGTTAATGTTCAGTTAATTTTGTGTGTGTTAAATTTCAATTACGCATGTGTATTGAAGAGGAGGGTATACATAGGCACATACAGCATTTGTTGTATCTTTTACATCCTTCATTATTAATAATTGTTTTGTAATCTATATTAAATTTTTGTTATGTTTTGTCACTGAACAAATTCTTTTTGTTAATTTTATTTAATGTCAGTTTTTTAATAAAGAAAACAGCAGTGATACTTAAAAACTCAAAAATCTGTGTTGTTAAGAAAACAAAAGATATCAAACTATACATTTTTAAAAAGTAGATGAATCTCTCTTTTGAATGCCATCAAAATATACAGGGTGTTCCATTTAAAATAATACATATTTTTTCCATTCAAGTTGACCAAAATTAGTGGATCATCCTGTATTGAACAACAACAAAACTTTTGGATAAACGAAAGCAATTAGTGCAATTAATAAGCTGTGCATTTACATTTAAAATCGATCACTCTTATTTGGGACACCCTGTATTGAGTGTGTTAAAAATTGAATCTAGGTCAAATTTTGACCTATCCTATTTGGACCTCAAGGCCACTAAAGGGCCTAATTTTTTTGTCAAAATTAAATTTGCGCTACTGGAAAAACTATTCTTTATGGTTGGCGTTCGCCAATAGAAATCTGCCGTATATGCTTCTCGGGAAAACTATAATTCTTGGCATTAATTTTAATATTGAAAACCGTTCATAAAGTGGTTGTAAAGACTTCTTATGAAATAGATATAATTTTGACTTTTGGTATCTAAACCACCTATAATCGCATTGACTTACCTAGAAATTTTCTTCATAACTAAACATATTTACATGTTATCTTTCCGTTACAACCCGTACAACCAACACAGAAAAATAATGAAACACCCCACATAGCACACGGACGTCTAAAAGACGTCCTTCAGGGACATAAAGGACGTCCGAGGGACGTCCTATTTTGGCACCGGGACGTCAATCGGACGTCCCATGGACGTCCTAATGTCCCGTTTCCATCCATCTTAGGGACGTCCCAGGGACATCCCAAAAGGACATCATAGGGACCTTTGCGGGACGTCCTAGGGACGTAAATCAGACGTCTGAGGGACGATATTTGACCATAATCCATAAAGGGTAATAATAACAAAAATGTTAACAATAAAAGAGCTTTATTTAACAACTTTTATCCTAAAAAACTAGCTAGATTTAAATGTTTTCAGTTTACAAAAAAAAACAGGAATGAATTAAATTTAACACACAGCGCTGGCAAGATGAAACCTTGGGTCCTACTTATAGCTTGTGTCGACATAACTGAGTATTATAATTTTGTCAAAATTAGTTTTGTTTCAACTTTCCGCCATTAAGGTATTTTCTTTCCGCCAGCGGCTACCGCCAATACACATCACTTATTGTCATATCAACACAAAACACTCACTGCACTTTATAACCACTTTACCACCAACATCAAAAAAATAACAAATAACACTACATAACCTTCTTTTTTCTTCGTTAATCTAACTCACTTATATAAGTTAATTATTGAGTGCCGAAAATTGTAGCTGTGTTGTTCATTTAAAAATAAATGATAGGTTAGGTTTTCTGTTGTCATACTCTTGCAAAAACAAAACGTTGAATTTCAAGTTATCGATTCAAAGACCAACGATGCTAGTACATAGAAAGTTCCATAGACGTCCCTTGGACGTCCCATTAACGTCCCGGACTCGGACCGAAAACTAAACGCTTTGTCGAAACGGGACCAAAATAGGACGTCCAGAGGACGTCCTTCTAAGGACGTCCTAGTGTTCACTGTTCATCGGAAGTCCAGTGGACGTCCTATTTAGGTCCGGGACCAACCGGACCAACAAGGGACCAAATCAGGACGTCCATGGGACGTCCTGTGCTATCTGGGACATCACACTTCAAAATATTGTTTAGTTTTTTTGAAAGCGTGGTTTAAAATTATATAGATTTTTTTATGAAAACACAATTATGTGGTATATCACGTAACATAGCGGAAATTTACAAAGTTAAAATCATTTTTAAGAATTTTTTTAACGATTTTGTAAAAATATTGCGTAAACTTAATCGAAAAACGTTTAGCCGCCCCATAGATTTTAGGCCGGCCCAACAAAAATGATGTAATTTAAAATGTTATTATTGGATCAGGTGAAAAAATGTGCTTAAAAAGCGCCTAAGAAAAGTATAATTGAAAAAAACATTAATTTCCACTGAATATGCAGTAAAAAAGTGTCAATGATTGTAAATATGGCCCTAAACATTAAACTAAACTGCTTATTATGCAATGTTTAATTGCCGCATTTTTGTACCATAACTTTAATCATCGGCCGACAAGTTTCCTCCATGTCAGTGTTTGCTGAGATACTCTCCTAATTTTTGGGTTACAATATTAGTGCAAAACGTATCAAAAGGTCCGCATTTGGGACAAAAATGTTACTTTTAATGACTTAGATACTTACAAACGTTCTGTATTAAAATTATATTTGTTTAAATAAGCTAAATTTTATGCAAATAATAAAAAGAAAAAGATTCACACCCCGAAAAAAAGCAAACATTTATTTTACGCTGTAATAATTCTACAAAATAAAGAAAAGAACTAGAAACGTAAAATGTAATGTTATTTACACCCGATTAGTTATTCCTTATGCATGGGCACCGCCAGAATTTTTTCCAGGGGGTATTTGAACCTAATCATGCCTAAGTATAAGCATGCATGCCTAATTTTATTTAATAGATAAGAATTATGCAGATACCTTAATAATTTAGCTTTTTCCCAATAATTGGTTGACAAAAGTTATTTTAGCTATTTTAATTTTTTTTTTTTTTCAATCTTGAAGAGGACCCCGCCATTTCTTTATGGAGAAATGATACCTATACTCGGTTACATTTTAAAAATGTTTCACATATCCACGTTTAAGACATGTTTTATGATAGACAGAGTATTGAAACTGCAAATTGGACAATTTTTAAAAATGCTGCACTTTTTTACAAAATACCTTGATTTCAGATATTTTCTAAGAATAATACCTCGCTCTATAAGTTTAACATCTCATCAGTTAAAATGGTAATTTATTTAAATTACCTTTAATTTGGGTTTACTTACTAATAAAGTGTAAAAGTTATTATATCAACTTGCTATTGCGAGTTTTTGAGATATGAGATGATATATCTACAACTTGGTAATGACAGGTATAAACTCGTTTCATCACCCCCTTAGAAGTAGAGTTTTTGGTAAATGATAAACGGTAAAAAAACCCGCAAAAAACGAAAAATAAACTCCTAGAAAAACAACCCCAGGAAAAAGAGCCACGATTAAAAAACCATGGGTTTAAAGCAATTAAAAAAAAATACCCAGGAAAAGCATACATTTTGATACATAGATATATTGTAATAATTCCACTCTGTATAAGGTAGAACTATTCCAAAATTCTCCGAGCATTAAGGGTTGTGGCTACATTGGCGTCCTACAATAATTTAAAAGAAATCAATGCATAAATACATATAAAAATTTTAATTTAAATATTCCGTTCCTATTTTTTATTCTAATTTTCCTGCCTTCTGCTTCTGATACTCCTGTCTTCTGCTTTATCTCCTGACTTTATATGCCTCCCATTCTCCTGCCTTTAACTCTTACTCTTGCCTTTCTATAATCTCTGGTCTCCTGCCTACTTTGCTCTTTTCCTCTGGTTTCTCCTCTTACTATATGCTAGTCTTACTCCTATATCTGCTTAAATCTCCTTCCTGCTATATCTTTACCTATCTCTATCTTTTATTTTATCTACACCATACAAATCTCCAACTTTAATATTTATTTATATTAACACCAATATACTTTTTAATTTTCTCTCTGACAATTCTCAAATTTCTTTGCATGTAGCAAATTTTAATACATATTTTGTAAAATATATTGCAATCGTTTCGCTTATGCTCCCAAGAAAAGAAAGTTGCTGGTAAAAAATTGGTAACAACTCTTGGACCTTTCCTTACTCTTTTCAAAAATGTCTGGTTCTGTACAGATCTTATAAATTTATACAAAACAAATTTTTTAACCAGGATTTTGGGGGTTTTTTAATCTGAGACTTTTTCGTTTTTTTACAGGGTGTTTGTAACTAAGTACGAAAGATTTCAGTAGGTGGTTGTCGAGAAATTTTTTTTAAATTGGCGGGAAAAAGTCATTTGCTCTCTTTTTTTTTTAAATAGTATTATTTTTCTAGAAAAGAATAATTGTACGCTCGACTACATGAAGGCCTACTTTAGAAACATTTTTTGCCCCCCCAAAGTTACATGAATCCGTCAGAGAAAGAAAACATTTTTGTGTTTTCACAAGTCTTTGATACGTCGGACATAAATATACCTAATGCAGATTATTTGTTGCATCAAACTAAACTTCGTCTAATGAGGAATGTCCTAGTTTTGGAAAAGTTAAGAATGTCTAAAGTTATCCGAAATGACGGTAAGCTAAAATGTTATTCCTGTATTTTTTTATAATTTTTTTTTTAATATTTTTTTTTAGTTTAATATTGACTTTTTCATAAGTTTTTACATTTTCTAGGACATTTTTCCATAAATGGTTCTGTTCAGAAATTAAGAATTATTACCAAGTATTCATAATAAAAATGCGGTGTCCTTTTCATGAGATGACAACTGCTCCTTTTTCTCTTCTGGCGCCGCCCATGGGGGAAAGTTACCATCACAAATAATTAAACCATTTTATTCCCTTTTCTGGTTACTTACTAACAAAAATTAGTCCTCTTCCCAGTAACTAGACAATTTAACTCATTTTAAAAGATTTACATGCAAATTTTAGGAATACTCAGAGGTTTAAGCCGACATCATTAATGTAGTAAACCCCTTAATTTGATTTCGATTTTAGACAAACATCCGTGTTAAGATTTAATCCTTTTTTAGGTTGGGGTAAGTCTTCTAGAAGGATATTTTATTCAGTAAACCAGTATTAGTATTATTTGTAATTTTGAATTGTGAACATCTGATAATAATTTGGTTAGTGTTGGTGTTGAAAATGGAGCATATTGATATTTCGAGAGTAAGTACTTTTTTAATTATTTAATAAATTTGAATTATTTATTGTATAAATACAATTTTTATTTTTCTATATTTTTAAAAGTATTGTCTGTATTTGATTATATTAAATAATTTTAAACATTTAAACGTTTTCGTGAAAAAAACAGGAATATCTAATACACCGGGTGGACCATCGGTAACGCTTCGGTATGTGAAGCCAAAAACTTTGTTTTTTTTTTAAATCTGTTTTCACAGCAAGATGTATATCAGAAAAGACAACAATTTAAAGGTAATTTCAATTATATAGGGTTCACCAAGAGTGTAATACATATCAAACAGGGGTTTTTTTGCAGTAAAAGTTTTCGATATTAGTCAACATTTTAAGTTAATGCATTACTTTTTTCAATTCAAAACACATCTGTACAGGGTGAGTCAAAACTCAAATGCATCATTTTCTCAATTTTTTGAATTTGATCACCCTCTGATATTTTATATCACCATTTAAAAGTACCTTAATTAAAGTTTAATTTAAGCATTCTTCATACCAAAAGATAATGATTTTGAAAAAATTTTAAATTTAAAATTATTTAAAAAATAGTTTAATTTTAACTGGTCACTGATTAACAGTAAATTAGACTTTTTGTTAATTAGTGATTAGAATTTAACTAGCTGTAATTTATTATCGACTAAAAAGTTTTTCAACATTTCTAATAGGACTTTAACATTCAGTTATAAATAAATACCAATAGCAACCAATCCATTATAATACCTACTTTATTTTAAGTTTATTATATTTTAAGTTGACTTTGAAATCTCAATACTAACATAGCGTTGCGATATTTGTGTTTAAAAGTGTCTAGCCAGTTTTTTATATGACCTTTAGTCGTGAGTAATTGAAGTATGTCGAGTTATACTTAAAAAATGCTTAGAAATGTGAGTTGGACCTTTAAAAACTACCCTAAGACCTCCATAAATGTTATTGGAGGGCACTTAGATAAATTTTTCTAATGAAATAACATATGTCAAAATAATACCTAATAAACTTGGAATAAAGTAGATATTATGTGAAGTTTTCGGTTGATATTTTTTTTACTGAATGTAAAAGTCGCATTAGGTATTGGCAAAAATTTATTCAGTCGATAATAAAGTACATAAATTCTAATTACCAATTAACAAACAGTCTATTTCCTATTAACCAGTGACCAGTTAAAATTAAAGTATTTTATGAATGATCTTTTTTTTAATTAAATTTAAAAATATCCCAAACTTATTAGGGAATGTTTAACTTGAGTGAAACTTTAACTAAAATAATTTTAAATGGCGAGTCAATTAAATAAAAATGAGAAAATGATGAATTTGAGTTTGGACTATTTTTATATAAAACGGTTTATAGCGTGTAAAATACCCGGTATAATCTTATACTATTTAGTATCATTATAATGGGAAAAGTGACGGCAAATCAAATTTAAAATAAAATACAGTGTGTCCGATTTAAAAAAAATCTAATTTTGATATACATAACTTTCTTGGAAAACACTGCATAATTAAATTATTTTTAAATTGTCGCCTTTCCTGATTTACATCTTGCAGAGAAAACAGATTTTAAAAAAAAATCATAGTTTTTGCTCTACAGACCGAGGAGTTACCGAAATTAACCATATATACATAATTTGTTTTCTGTTATGTATAAATATTATTAATTATAATAAATGGTATCAAGTTTAATAGTAATGAATTAAATTTTGTTTGTTTTAGACAAAGTCTCAAAATTTTAAGCCGATTAAATTGCTGTTAGAGATCATTCTAAACCGAAAAAATGTGACATACACAGGTAAGTCTTTTATTTGTTTACGTACTGTTTAATAATTTTCATTTAGAGTATTCAAAGAGTAAAAATTAACGATCAGTACAGTGATACATTCTACATTAAATACGGTGTTCGGTATTGCTCAGGGAAGTGTTCTAGTGCCCCTATTGTTTTCCCTATACGTAAATATAGCTTGCTGGAACCAAATTCTGTACTGCCGACGATACGGTCCGTAACATAAGGCGCAAACCTGGGAAATTCTAAAACATCTCAGATTGTTAACGTTATTGTCAAAAAATTACATTCTAGGGGCCAATAAGTTGCTACCCGATATCTATGACCCAGACAACACACCAAATCCCAGAGATATCCACAGAATATATTTTGTGGATATCCAATATATCCACAGGATATCAGAAATATTCCGTGGAACTAATATGGATATCCAAATGTCCGTCTATATCCAGGATATAGAATATATCCTATGGATATTCAGCAAAATATCTAATGAGTATCTCCAGACAATACAAGAAATCCCAGATATATCCATAGAATATATTTTGTGGATATCCAACCAAATGTCCGTCTATATCCCAGGATATAGAAATTCAGATAAATATTTTATAATTATTTTTAGTAGAGGTTCATAAGTAACCAATGGTTATTGAATAACGTCGAAAGAAAATAGAGGTAAAAAATATTCCCAACAATCTGCCTTTGATTTTGCCTACTAAGGAGAAAATCATCCTTATTAGGAATCTTCAGCAAGAAATGGAACTTTTCGACTTCAATCTCTAATAAAGTCTGTTTGTGAAACAATGTCGATCAAACTCAATTACGGCGGGTTAAGCATGAGTAGATACGAAAGTGGTATCGCCATCTATACTTAGGAAGCAAAATCAAAAATTACATCTAGTAGATATCCACGATGGTTTGCGTCCGCGCTTAGACTTTGATATATTTATATTTATAGTGGATGTCCATGGGATATTGAATACACCTTAAAAAAAATTAATTTTATATATCTCAACGGTACTATTAGCCACAATGGCGAGTACAATGGCGTAATTTTTTAATAATTTGCTATATAATTACAATTATTTATGGACATTTGCATGTCTATAAATTACATTTCATGGATATAAAATAGATATCCACCATGGACTGGACATTCAGTGGATATTGGAATGTTCAGTAGATATCCAAAGGATTTGGTGTGCTGTCTGGGGAAACATACCTATATAAAAAAATATTTGTAACGCTCATAAAAAATTAATTTAAAAATTATTTTAATTAGATAGTGAGAGTCATATTATTAAAATTAATAAAGATATGAATATCTATACCATTCATAAAAAAAAATCATTAAAAATGTTCCTACTATACAGGGTGTTTCCGAACTTGGCGTCCAAATTCGTAGGGGTGGTAGTTCGCATAATTTGAGAGCGATTGGCAGATTTCATTTTTCTAAAAAAATTATAATAAACAAAATAGAGCCATTATAAAAAAAATCAAAGAGCAGGTCCTACCCTGAGCGTGTAGAGCAATAGTCCTTAAAAACAGATGCGATATCGATTCTAAGCGTAGCGCGCGCGAGTCGAGACGTCCCATTGCTGTGCAGGACCGTACCTGTTTATAATTTTTAATTATTTTTATTTCAAATATTTTGGAAAAATGAAATATGCGAATCGGTCTCAAATTATGCGAACTACCACCCCTACAAATTTGGACGCCAAGTAGCAAAGACAAAAATTATATCAAAATAGGAAAGCCCAAAAGTTGCATATCATTTAAAGAATATGCTCATATATTTGTAAACATTATTTTTAGAAATAAATTTAATTCTCAAATGATAGATGTGGTATTTGATATTATAATAAACAAAATAGAGCCATTATAAAAAAAAAATCAAAAAGCTGGTTCTACCCTGAGCGCGTAGCGCAATAGTCGCTTGATCGGTTACTCATCGGGATTTACAACTCAAAAACGATGCGATTTGCAAATTTCTCCCTCCGCCCGGCTGGTATCGAAAGACGTAGCCGATTGTTTTTCTAGTGCGTATTGCTCGAGGCCATTCCCATCGCTGTGCTTAAAAGAAATTATTGGCAATAAAAAATAAAATATAATATACAAAAAATAACTGCATAATAGCTATTCAGCTATTTGAGTGAAAAGGGTACGGCCACGCTTGCGAGCGATTTATCGTGTGAGATAAATCGCGAGCGACAAGCCACAACCTGTCCACCATCACAGAGTACATAATATGTACTCTGTGCCACCGTAAAGCAAATAAAAATGCAGTTTTTGCTCTCGCCAACACGTCAAATTGTTCTTCTTTTGGAAGATATATTCCTTTTATAAATAATCTATAATCAAGTGCAACATAAAAAAAGTTTTTACCACTTCCTGTTGAACAGGAAGCAATTTTTTTGTAAAAAGAATTTCAGAATAACTTTTAGGATTACGGGGATATTACGTAGGCAATATTTTTGTGGCCACGTGGTATAAAATATGCTAAAATAATTTATTACAAAATACAAATATTGTAAACCACAACCAACTACTTTGCACAATTTGATCGATATATGTACTTGGATTTTTAAAAATATTCATTAGTATCCTGTCATAAAAAAGGTCTACTTTCTATTTCTGAAATTAACATTTCTTTCAAACAAGATATCTTATCGAACATGTGATTAAAAATAATTAAAATCAAACACATTTTTTTTTCTATTTAAATATCTGCAAAGTCCCAAAAATGGTAATCTTTTCACTGTCATAAAAGTGCCATAACTATAAACTATACTGGATGGCCAGACGGAAAAGAAGCAGCCATTATTAAGAACGACATAAACATTTTATTATTGAACCGTCAATTTTTAATCAAAGAAAGATATCTTTCTATCATATCCTCAACTGTCATTCCCCTCATCCCCTTCCCTCCATCACTATACCAATACAATTTAAATAAGGAAGGTACCAAGTATGACAGATTAAAAAGGTAATTTTATGGAGAATCCAACAATTATTCATTGCGATAGTTTTTCAGTGCCATTCAAAGGGATAAAAAACTGTTATGTATTATAAATTTTAATACTTCATCTGAAAATTAATTTCAATATTAATTTGAATTAAACTTAATCTTTAATAGAAAAACCTTATACCTGGTGTTCAAATTAAATTGTTACAGTTAAATACCACCAAAAATATGCATTTTATAAAAAAAAGTTTCAGACAAAAGCTTTATAGTTTTTTTAGGGGAAACATTATATAAAACTGTAATTTGAACACTCGGTATAGAGCTTTAACATTAAATACAAACTTTAATCAACCAAAAAGAATTTTATGATATGCATTAAATTACTAATAAAATTAGCTTTCAAATGAAGTGTCACACTTTGCAATATGTAGCAGTGTTTTTTTCTACTAGAGGACACTAAAATCAAAATGATCGCAATTCTTATTGTTGAATTTTCCATAAAATTACCTGATAACGGCTTTGTTTCTTTTTCGTCTGGCCACCCTGTATATTTGTTTTTAATTATAGTAAAATTGGAAAATGATCGCTCTGCTTCGCAGCTAGTTACAGGTGGTGTTTAAAACAACCTAACAAGGTTTATAAATTGGAAAATACATCTATATTATTCCTTTACTATGTACGGAGTTGGATATAATTGACGGAACTCCAGATTTTTCGTTTCATTGGTAAAAAAAACAAAAAATATGGTTAAACAGGCCGATTCAATTTTTTAAATGCGCATTTTTTGATAAACTTCTATTTTTATGACCTCATGAGTATTCGAGATATGTCGTCATCGCCAGTTTCATATGGCAACACCGTTTTTGGATAGTACCAATTATTCTCGATTATTAAAAAAAGCACACTTTTTTGGGTATAGGTATACGCCAAATTTCGTGTTATGATACAATACAATATTTTCGAGAAAAACATTTTACCATTAGTAACAATAACCATAAAAATCTGATGTGTCCAACACATGACTTTCCTATCTAGTTATTACTGGCTTTTCCCGGTTATTTTGTACAACCTATTGCAGCACCTCTATAAATGTTTAGAGAATAAACTAAATATATACATTTTCCACTTACATCTACCTTGAAACATTTAACATTTTTCTATAGATATTCATTGAAAACGAAAATAATGAAAAATTTAAATTTAGCACTTTTCCTGCAATTTTTCCATTACGGTCCATTTTAGAAAAATCATGTATAAACAAAAATTATAGAGATCGATATAGCAAACAACTTTTAATTCAACAATTTTCATAAAAATCAGAATTTTGCACATTTTGTCAAATTTCTCGAATACGGACCATTTCAAGAAATTTTGACATAAAGCAAAAATTATAGATAATAATATTAGAAGTAACTTTTATTTGAACAATTTTTTTCTCCAAACATAAATAACAGATATATTCCATAAAATATAAAAACGGCCCCCCATAAAGTACCCCCCCAGATGTTCCGACTTTGTACAAAATCTAATCATTTCATGTGAGGCCGAAATAAAACTTAAATTTAAAATTTAATGTTTTTTTCTTTATCCGTTTTTGAGTTTTCTTCAAATTTCGAAATTTACACATTTTCTCAAATATCTCGAATACGGTCTATTTTAGAGAAATTATGTAGAGTATAAAAATTATAGAAAATTATATAACAAACAACTTTTGTTTGATTAATTTTTATAAAAAATATTTTTTTACATTTTGTCAAATTTCTCGAATACGGACTATTTTAGAAAAATTTTGTATAGAACAAAAATTTTAGATAATAATATAAGAAGTAACTTTTATTTGAAGAATTTTCTTCCCCAAACGTAAATAACAGATATTCCATAAAATATAAAAATGACCACCTATAAAGTACCCCCCCCAGATTTTCCGACTCTGCCCAAAATCTAATTAGCTCATTGAACGCTGAAACAAAGCTTGAGTTTAAAATTTGGTGTTTTTCTGTGTATCGGTTCATGAGTTATGGTGCACATACGCGCGCACACACACACACACACACACACACACACACACACACACACACACACACACACAGATACACACACAGACACACACACAGACATCATCGCGAAAATAGTCAAAACGGATTCAGGGGACCTCAAAACGTAAAAATCCGTCGAAAACTCGAGGTCGAAAAAAATCATGATTCCTATAATTTCCTTATATCTGTTTACAGATAGGAAAGTAAAAATGTTTAAATTTCACATTATCCGAAGCTGCATTGAAATCCTCGGTATAGAATCCATAATTCTCCGTTCAAACAATCTGGAGATATTAGGTCTTTCAAATATGTTTATAATATCTGCATTTTGCATTTGGCAAACTAAAATATAGATACTTTTTCGTATTTCGATTTTGTACGGCATGTCACAAAATTTTTTCGACAACAACTGTCAATATTTATGATAACAAGGCCTACTTGAATAAATTCCAGTCAATGGTAGGTAACTAGACTAAATCTTTTCAAATTTATAATTTAATCAAAATGAGAAAAATCTTATATGTAACACGTTTTACGAAATTCCGTTTATTTTGCGGGACCTCGCTCTGTTCGTCACACAAATATTCACTAGTTACATAAAATATGGCATTTCATAACTGGTTACATAAATATAAATAGCTATTTCACTACATAGCTTGGGCAAAAAATTACATTAGATTACCTCTTACATTTTTAAATTTAACTTTTACTTAAATATAGTAATATTTTTTTTTTCTTTTTAGCACCAGTGCGTATGTCAAACCTCAACAGCACCTTTTCGTCCCTAAATTCATCTAAAGATGCAGAAGAACTTCTCAACGTGACGATTAACGAGAAAACAAATAAATCTAATTCTTCCAAAGCTACATCGAAACAGAAAAAACGAAAAACAGTTGAGATAAAGATAAAATTAGATATTTCTGATGTAAGCGAAGATAATGAACACGTCAAGGATGATGGAGAAGAAGAAGAACAAGTAGCCGAGTTCAAAGCGACCACTATAAAAAAAATAGCGAGCAAAATAAGTGTGAATGCTAAAGAAGGCAAACTGTTCTGTGAAAACGAGGAACAGGTATTTTCTACAGCTATGAAAAGGATGTCGAGTAGAGTTAGTCTATCTATAAAAGATGATAATAAACAAATAGAAAATCACGAAGAAACACTTTATTTTGATATAAACTCTCAATCGGATGATAAATCAAATATTGCTACATTAATCGAATCTCTAAGCGGTCCTCACAATCATTCTGTTTGGCACAAAATATTCGAGAAAATCCATAACAGTTACCAAACTGCATGTGATGATAAAAAAATCGTTGATGTAATCAATGAATTGATCATGGAAAAATATAAACAAGCTTTAAATATTTTAAAACAACGCGTTGAAAAGAGAGAACAAAATAAAACAAATAATAAAACGTTGGATGATTCGAATGACTTTTGCGAGCAAGAAAAAACATTCGAAGACTTTAAAGTCAACTTGGAAAGTAAGGAAGGTTCAAAATTGAAAAATACGGCTATGAGAAATACAAATAATACTGCTCAAAACAAAGTAGATTCGCAGGAAATTGGAAGTCCTTGTAGAAATCTACTGGATATTTCAAATGATAAACTCGCAAATGATTTAAAAGCTTACAATGAAAAATACGAACCTAAATATCAATTCTTAAATGCTTCAAAAATTGATAACCATGTACCAGAAAATCAGTTTAGTTTCTGCAAAGAAAGAAGCTTTTCCGATGACATACTAATATCGTTTGAAAACGATTTGAAGAAAGAAAATGTGAGAAGTTTTTTAAAAGCGGAAGGAGAAAACATGTACGAGGATATAAACAAAATTTTCGATTCTGAAATAAGTTTAGAAGAAAATATTGTTGAGTACGATTCAAGAAAATTTCTGCGCTCTGCTTTGGGAGAAGACATATATTCCAGTTTTGATTCTCAGGTAAGGATATTTTGAGTTCTTTGAATGTTTGTAAAAAAAAGGTTCACCACTTTATTATTATGATAATATGTAGGTTAATCTTTTGCATTGTTTGACTCCATCTTCTGGATTACGTTAATAAACTTTTTATTTAGTAAATTTTTGATATTATATTGATATCAGATTAATGAAGTCAAAAAATCATAGTATTATTATTTTATGTAAATAAAAAGTTCACAGGTTTAATCGGTCAACAGTTTTTGTTTTTTTATTAATTAAGCACTACATATGTTTCGGAAATAGCTATATTTGTATATTAACAGTGAAAAGTGATACTTTTCCGCTTAAAACAGAAAGTTGCCGAACTTTTTGCTCAAAATGCACACAATATTTTTTCTACGATCACGCTTTTTTAAGAAATATATAGTGTGTCGCATTTAATATGAAGACACCCCTATATTTTGGCTATCTAAATTAATACAGATTTGAAATTTTGCACAGTCATACAGGGTGATGGTTCACATTTTTCAAGACACTCAACTGAAATTTAAATTTTAAACGCGGCCTACTGCGAATCCACAAACAGGGTCAATTTTCGATATTTTTCTTCGCGTTAGAAATATCAGAAAAAGTTATTTGAAAAAGTTATTCCGAATATTATTCTAAGCCCACGTACTAAATTTCATGACTAAATTCGCATTTTTAGTTTTTTTATTAGTTTGGTCATTACACAAAAAATTATTAAAAGTTGATTTTTTTTATTCGATAAACTAGTGTGCCAGGATCGACATTAATGATTACACAAGTATCAAATTATTCCTATCCATGGCACACTAGTTTATCGAATAAAAATAATTAACATTTAATAATTTTGTGTGGGAAAAAACTAAAAATGCGAATTTTGTCATGAAATTTGGTATGTAAGGTTAGAATAATATTTTAAACAACTTTAAAAAAAAAAATTTCTGATACCTCCAACGCGAAGAAAAATATCGAAAATTGACCCTGTTTGTGGATTCGCAGTAGGCCGCGTTTAATATTTAAATTTCAGATGAGTATCTTAAAAAATATGAACCATCACCCTGTATTACTGTGCGAAAATTCAAATCTGTATTTATTTAGATAGACAAAATATAGGGGTGTCTTTATCTTAAATGCGACACACTGTATATATAAAACTGAAAATTTGTCGTAAGTAGTGTATAATGTGTTGCCTATACCTACGTTAATCAAGAAAAATGCAGTTGATATTCAAAGTACAGGTTAACTATATAACAAAAAACATGTATATAACTTACGTACAAATAACTTGAAAATCATTTATCTGAAGAAAATATTATTGTATTATAGCTAATTTAAATTAGGCTAGCAACAAAGCTGTCACTTAATGTCAGTTCGCGGAAAACGTCAACTTTGCCATTGGATTTCGAAGCGCAAAAGCCTACTTTGGATAGTGATCGTAAAGAAAATAGTTATTTATGCAACAAGTGTGTAAAGTAACCCAAAAGAGGGACTTTACACACGAATTGCATACAATATATTTTCTACTACCAGAAGCTTTATCAAAAAATGAAGGTTTTATATACAAGTTCTTCTCGCACTATAGCGTAAAGTATATTTCTTTACGCACTAGTGTGTAAAGTTTAATTTTTTGGTTTTGTTCAGTTAAAAATATTTTATATTTAGTTTTTTTGTATGAAATAATAATTAATTTTTGCACCTAAATAGATATTTATTTTATTGTCTGAAGCAGTCGCCTAAAATAGTTATTTATGCAACAAGTGTGTAAAGTTACCCTTTTTTGACGAATGTGAATGTGACAATCATATGAGTCAAAAAAGGGACTTTACACACGAGTGTCATACAATATTTTTTCTACTACCGTACACATAATCCACTAATATTAGAAATATAAAAGTTACTTTTTTTCACTAGTGAAAAAAGTACTTTACTTTACGCACTAGTGAAAAAAAGTAAAATGTGCCAAAAATTGTACACAGCAACAAAAACTTTACAAATTTATAATTCTTACAGAACAAAATGACTAACAAATGAAGAAATATTTAAAACTTATGAATATTAATATTGAATGTGCAATTATTGCAATTACCAAAACTTAAGGTTTTGGCCTTTTCCAGCACAGAGTTTGAAAAATGTTGTGATATTATTTCTGTAACCCTATTTTGAGCTTCGAGTGGTATGGATTTGGCCTTTTCAAGTAAAGAGGTTGAAATATTTTGTTTAACTCTAGTTTCACTTTCGAACGGTTCCACTAAATCTTCATTAGAGTTGTCAACGGTAAAATTGTAGCTTTGTTTGGAAGTGGATGGCATACTGTCATCCATCAAAATTTTATTAGAAATTTTGTTTTTTTTGTGTTATTGTGCTGTCTACGTAGCCTTCTGCAACAGCAGATGATTTCCATCCTCCATGTTTTTTTGACCGTTAGAAGGTCTCCTCCAGAATTTGCCAGCATAGTGGCTGAAGACCTCCTAAAGGAGTGTCCTGTAAAAGCCGTTGGATTGGGCAAGTTTAGATACGTTGCTATAACACCAAAAGTATTTATCCCTACAGGTTGTTTAGAATATTTTCCATTTGCGAATTTTAAAAAAAATCTGTTACAATTTATATTTGATGGTCTTAATGAGGTATATTTTTTTATGAAAGATAAATAATCAACTGCAGAATTATTTGGATTTAAAATCGTAAAAATGCCGTTCTATTCCATTTTTGGTTTCTGATACTTTGACAATATACACTGTTTGTTTATCTTCCACATTGTTAATTGTCATTTTACATAATTCTTCCCGGCGACAAGCTCCCGCAATTCCAATTATAAAAGCTACCTAAAAAATAACATATTGTAATGTTACAAATAATTTATTAAACATTAGGAAATATCTTGACGTGCGCATGTAAAACTCCAAATAAATGCTATTGTAAAAAATATAAAAGTTTTAGGTATAATGTGCTGCCTAACAACCCCGGTGGCCTGTTAGGACAGCAACTGATTTTGTTAGGCAACACACCATACCAACACACATCTCGTTGCAAAACTTTACACAATATTTTAATTTTATACTGAGCATTCAAGCATTTACTGAGGCATTTACTTACTTTGATCATTAAAAACTTGGAATCTGGAGCTTTCAACAGAAAATTAAATAGATCTTCTCGTTCAAAAATTTTGGATTTTTTTGGTTTATAACCTTTATTTTTTTTGTTTGAGAAACGCTATTAACTTGTTGAATTTCGAAATATCAACGTTGTTTTTATATTTTAAGGTGCTTTTAAGCATAGAATAAATCGACCATAGGGTAGAAGCTTTGCAATTCTTCAATTCATCAGATAAATATGCTAAAATAACGTTTTCCGAATATTTTGTCACCTTATTCTTCCTACACCATTCTATAAATGCATTGTATTTTTGCTGATAAATATATGCAGATTTTTCTGGCAATAAATTTTCAGTGGCCTTTTGTGCACTGCATAAGATATCTGGGGGAGTATTATCAAATTCGCTATCGCTAGATAAATTTGAATCCATATCGATTATGACAGATATAATAAACTGCAAATAAAATTTGAATTTAGGTAAACAAACATTAAAAAGTAAAACTTTTTACCTTCTCAAACTTGATTGAGTTTAAAAAAATGCTAAATTGGCTTTAGAATCTAATCTTGAACTAAGTATAGGTACTTTTGTCGTGTTCTGTTATAAGGTAGGTAGGTAGGTACTAATTAAAAGTTTAGAGATTAACAGTTCTTCTAATCCACACAGCCACGGCCAACTTACTTTTACCAAAATCGACATCCACTGTATATGTTTACTTTTAATTAAATCGATGACATTTAGAGAAAATTATAATTAAAATAAACTGTTAATAATTTGTTGGACACTAAATAGATATAAGCAAAAATAATTTATTTATTTGTCTTAGAAGGAGATAGCAAAAAAATGTTAATATAAAATAAAACGTTATATTTTGTTGTTATGTACAAATTTTGTCAAATTATACTTTTTTTAACTAGTGCGTAAAGAGTTTTACTTTACGCACTAGTGAAAAAAACTACAACTTTACACACTTCGTGGAGTGCGTAAAGTACGTACTTTACGCACGGTAGTAGAAAAAATATTATATGTACCTCGGCCGAATGATCTTTTTCGGACTCATCCCAAATTTACTCGCCTGTCGTAATTTGTGTTCCTCCGGAAAAAGTCAACTTTACGGGCTTTGTTAAAATAAATGTTAATTTCTAATAATGTAATTTCAGAAAACAAATCATCAAAATGGGTTCTGTTCTTGAAAGTTCCGAACAAAAACTATTACTTTACTAATACGAATGTTTGTTTTGTTTTTATACTCTCTAAATATTTGTAGTTAGTTCTATTCAGAATTTCACACCAATTTTTTTGAACTGCATTTAACTAAAAAATATTTTTCAGAGTGAATACCGTACATGTTTATATGACTCCCCGACACTTGAAACTCCTGATACTTTGAAAACCGAACAAAGCATAGGAAGCAGTAACATTTCAGAGCTAATCTCAGATTTAGACAGAAGAAAATCTGCTGGCATTTACAGCCTTTACAGTTCAGTAAAGAAAAACATGAGTAAAAAATACAAAAAACAAGGAAAGCATTTCGCCAAATCTACGAAGAGTAGCAACGATTACGGGTATGAAAGTTTGGATGATTTGGATAATAATATTCATGAAAAAACTTTGACGGAGGACAATGTAAGGCAAAATGAGATTATTTATCAAATGTCGAAAGCTGTTAGTGTTTGTAGGAGTCATTCGGATTTTTATGGATCTGATATTTTCGTTGAAGCTGAAAAAATTTTGTTGATTGCTAGTAAGTATACTTTGTATTTTTATAAATAAACAAGTGGTTAGAGTAAAATTATAACCAAACTAATCAGAGACGACTTTGTATTTACTTTATTACAACAAATAATTTTTTACAGGTTTGAGAAAAGACGTTAACGACGATGAATTAAAAAAACTTGACTATGAAGATATCGACCAGCGTCTTACCTCGAGTTCAGTAATAATAAAAAATCTCGAAATATTTTCCAAACCCATTACCGTTGTAACAAAAAATAAGAGTAACGACTGGCATTGGGTCTGTATTATTCGTCATGGATCCACGGTATATGCTACAAAACCCTTACTACAAGAAGACAAGACTATAAGTTTTCCAGATAAATTCCATTTTGAGTGGTTACCATCCGATTTTGAGATACACGTCAGCATCTATGGATTGATGTTGAAGAATAGAAAACATAAGGTAAATTTATTCTTCAACAGTAAATGATTTACTTTTAGTATCTTAACAAACTAACATACGATTATCAGATATTTGATATCGTCTCTCAAAGTGCAGAAGGTTGTATGTCTAAAAATAGGTACCTACTGATTTTTTACCTTATGATCTGATATTATAATATTTTTATTATTCTTTTTAGTGTATTATGCACTAAGAACCGACTTTTTTGGAAACCTAGAACCCTCTGACTTTTGTTGGATCACGAAATAGCGCCAAACGGTATAGCGCGTGTCAAAATAACGCAGACTCAAAATAGTGAGTAACGAAACAGCGTCTGAACGAAATAGCGTTTATTAAAATCGCTGCGTTTTCAGTGAACTAGGGCCTGATTAAAATAGCCCTGTTTTTACTAAGTTACTTAATCTGTGTAACCTGGGTTACTTCGCAAAAAAATTATACAAAAAATAAAAAAAAACAAATTTACGTAACCTGTGCGTGAGTGATCGTTAAAATTTAAATGACTTCAGGTCGCACTGGTTATGTAGATTAGTTTTTTTCTCATTTTTTATATAATTTTTTTTACGAAACAACTCTCGATTAAGGCTGGGCGATTATCAAAATAAATTATCGATTATTTAAAATAATCTATTAATCGAAATATTCGATTAATGAAAATAAACGATTAATCTAAATAATCAATTAATCAAAATAATCGATTATTTTGCACACCCCTAAAAATGACACATTATTAAAAAGGATTATTTGTCAATAAGACCTTTCATCGAGTTGCTTTTGATTTTAGCGCCTTCTAGCTTGACGTAAACGTATTGTAAAGTGTGACACTTCATTTGAAATCTTATTTTATTACTAATTCAATGCACCACATAACAATAATCTAAAAATCTCCATATTGCACAAAATAAAGTTAACAATAATGCCAACCATGACTAATTTTTAGACTTTTGCGAGTCCAATATGAAAATATTTAAAGATATGTAATGCATTAAATTAGTAACAAATGAAGTGTTAACTTTAAAATACATACTTTTTTTTATCAAGCTAGAGGGCGCTAAAATCAAAAGTATCGAAATGAAAAGTGATATTGCCGAATTCTTCATCAAATACCCTTTTCAATGATGTGTCACCCTAGGTACTTTTCACTTTTCATTTTCTTAAAATTCATCAGGGTGGACTGTTTCGAGTGACCTACTCTGTATAATCAATTATTGCTATCAATGTAATACAGTGTGGGTCAGAAAGCTCGAAACAATGAGGAACATTGATTTCTCAGAAAATTTCATTTCTGATAAAAGTTTCTGTAAAAAAAAGAAATTGACGATGCCCAGTTACGGATTAGATATACAGGACCACAAAAAAGTATTAAATTAATTTTCTCTAAATATCAATATCAGATTTAAAGAGTGGTAATAAACAAATAATATTATTATTTATATTGATAATTGATTAGGCTAATATTTAAAATAATCGATTAAACGAAAATAATCGACTAAACGATAATAATCGATTAAACGAAAACAATCGATTAATCTAAAATAATCGATTAATCTAAAATAATCGATTAATAGAAAATAATCGATTAATAGAAAATAATCGATTAATAGAAAATAATCGATTAATAGAAAATAATCGATTAATAGAAAATAATCGATTAATCGAAAATAATCGAATAATCGATTATTTAAAAAATCTTGCGATGGCTCCAGGTCGTACAAGTTAGGTAAACTTTAACAAAAATTGAAAAGCAACATGCGACTGCTCCAGTACGCACAGGTTGGGCATATTCATTAAAACGGTGTTGTTAAATCTGGCCCTATTTCGTTGGACCGCTATTTCGAAACGTGATGTTTTGATAGAAGTCACTTCGATAAGTCGCTGTTTTAACTGGCGCTGTTTTAAACAGCGATATTTCCTTCAGGCGCGCTTTTTGATACGCGCTATTTTATTCAGCGCTATTTCGTGACAAAGGCGACATTTTGCATTTTAACATCAGGATTGCAATCAATAAATGCCACATTTACCAATAAAAATTTCGACATACGACTTTTTGCACTTGTGACTGACGATATATATGAATCTGTCAAAAATTAATAATTCTTAATACTCTACTATGTCAACAATATATCGTATTTTTTTATATGTTTATATAATTGTAGCATTTACTTATACGTTTTATCTTTTCAGAAAACCAAATTCCGCACTGAACTAAAAACGGTACCATCCTCAAGTTCCGATTCAACACAGTCGTACTTCACTCTATGGGGTACAACCATGATTAAACCTTCACAATCAAATCAGACTGTATTTAATTTGGTTCAAGCGCTTCCAGGGGCTCCTATAACGGATATTTTGAAAATTAACGTTGAAACTACCTTCAGTATTCATGTTAAAGAAGTCGGCTTTCTAACTATAGGACTAGATTATAAGGGATATCCTGTTTGGAATAGAAGATGGTGTTCGCTTGATGGATCTAGGTTAAGGTAAGCCAAAGTGATTCGTTTAAAAAGACTACCTACTAGGCCATTTTTAAAAAAATAATTGCTACCCAAAGTTAGTATTACGTATTTACAAAGATTCTTTTTAGGTATTGGAATTATCCTAACGAAGAACAACACTGTGAACCATTAGGCGAACTGGACTTACTAAATTGTTTTTCAAAGGAAATTCAAAGAGCACCGAAAGATATTTGTCCATACCCTCGAACTTTATTAATACACATGAATGGACGTGAAGGTAGCAAAACTGTGGAAAGAAGATACTTTGTGGCTGCTGATAACCTAGCTGATTTAAAAAGATGGCAAGAGAGCTTAAATTTAGTTTTGAGTTACCTGAGAGAGTGGAACGAGTATGACTGTTTTCTGGAGAACTGACTGGCTATATAATAATTGTCTATTTTGTGAATAATTTATGTTTATACAGTGTGTACAAAAAGTAAAGTAACTTGTTAAAATTTACAAACAAGTTTTAAATAAAAGTTTGGTTATCAGAAGGGCCATTTAGAAATATACTGGGTGTACAACAGTACGATAATACAAGATGTAAATAAGTGTGAAATATTTTAGGAGGTGGTTGCCGAAGTTATTTTGTTGAATATCAAAACAGGAAAAAGTCAGTGGTGCACCATTTTTGTTTTTATTAAAAGTTGTGGCATTCTGGCACGTTCGCTACTGGTGCAAGTAGAAATATTCAGAAAAAAACAAAAAAATGCACATTTATCCCTCCAAAGCATTTTGTAAATTTTGAGTCAATATCTTTAAAACTCTTTGATATAATTATTAAAAATAAAATTAAAAAATAAAATTTAAACACTGTATCTCGAAAACGAAACATTTCGACCTACGTTTATGGAATTTTTTTAACAAAATAACTTCGGTAAACCTGTATGTTAAATATATAAAAAATATATTCTTGCGTTATTTTGGAGGAATGATGCACTAGGTATATTTCTAATTTACATATACTTATTGATATTGATAACTTGATTTATTTCCTAAAACTTTTTTTGGTAAAAATAGAAATCCATATATATTAGCAATTTACGTTTTTTGTACAAGCTGTGTATATTATGGGGAGAATTTTATATGATGTATATAGGATAAAAATAAGGAGAAATTAAAATTATGTATAATGTGTTGTTTGAGTAATAAAGAATATGAAATGAAAGAGTTTTTTGTTTAAAAGATATATTATTATAGAGGCGATATTTTTTTACGAATTAATATTTTCATATTATATGACACTTATTTAAAAACTAAACTCTTTTATTACCCATTGACGTAGCTAGAAGTGGGCAGAGTTGGATACTTGTCTCTAAAAATATAGTACATTTTGTTATGTTTTGTTTATTATAAGTGAACACATCTTTATGTTATATATAATTAGTGACACAAAAGAAAGAAAGTGGATCCTTTTTCGTTTTGAGTGGTTTATAATTCCACTACAAACATTACAGTGAAGACATTGAAATATATTCTCTTAACATAATTAGTGAAAACTACTTAAAATCAATGAAAATATCCTAAAAAGGGCCGTGCGGAGCACGCACGGGCCCCAATACTGTCATTCCGACGGACTCCATTATAGGGAGGGTTCACCGCAGTTTTTGGGTGCCTAGTCCAAATTTGACTTAAAACTTGTTAAGAAAACGCCTCGGACAATTTTTTTTTGGTATTTTTATAAAGAAAAAACGTAAGTAGATATTTTTGTGTATTGCGTATATGTATTGCACGAAATATAGAAAATAAATAACTAAACAATCTTGAACGTTTTATAAATATTAGAAACAAATAAAATAACAAACTTAAATAAAAATTTTTTGTCTCTGTCAAAAAATGCTGCAATGCACCTACGGAATTTTAAGTTAAAACCTATGTCACAGTTTTAGACTATTTTAAGGCTATTTTTATGCCCTGTCCAAAAAATTATGATACTCGTTTTTAAAAAAAGTCAAGGTGCTTTGCTATCTTCGAACGAAGCCAGACAAAGCACCTCGGTTTTTAAAGTTTTTTTTTTTCTAAAAACAATTACACCACATTTTTAGGCTCTTGAAATAATAAAAAGGTTTTACTACAAAATTGTCATTTTTAGTTAAGCCAGCAAAGAACCAAAGTGTTTTTTTTAACAAATACCTACACCATATTTTCATGCTATTTTTAGGCATTAGAATTATAAAACTTTTCGAAACACATTGGTATTTTTAAAAAATACTAAAATAGTTTTGGCGTTTTGACCTGTTAGGACTGTTAGGACTTGCTCCCTTGGAAATATTTTGAATGGCACCCAAGGTTATAATAAGCTTTTCGAAAAAAAAAAATACTATTTTTGCTAACTTCGAACGAGGCCAGTAGAACAGCTCGATTGTTTAAAGGTTTTTTTCTAAAAACAACTATGCCACCTTTTAAGACTCTTCAAATGTTTATTTAAAAAATACGAGGTGCTTTGCTTTCTTCGAAGGAATCTATCAAAGCACCTCGATTTTTTGTTTGTTTTTTTTTTCTTCTAAAAACAACCACACCACATTTTTATGTTATTTTTAGGCTCTTGAAATATTATTAAACATTCCTAGCAGCTAGATTCGTTATATATCTATAAAAATACCCTTAAAATAGCCTAAAAATATTGCATTTACGGTGTGACATCAAAAAATGCTTAAAACCGTTTCTAAAATAGGAAGGGTAACTAAAATGAAATAAAAAAGAACTCATCCCCATCAACCCCCTAGGCCCCACCTACCCCAACTAAAAAAGTTTAAATAGCAAACCCCTAATTTTAATAAATCATGGTATAAATAATAATTGTACAGAGTGAATCAATAATTGTGAAACCTTGCCTTAAAAGAAAAATTTAATGAAGTTTTTGTTGAACTACAAATTTATGAGTTCTCTTTTGTCATTTTAGTTCCCCCATCCTATCCTAAAAACGATTTTAAGCATTTTTTGATATCTTTCGTTTGTGAGATAGTTGTTAGAAGTTTTTAAATTGTCACACCATGTTTCAACTCAAAATGTCATAGGTGCTTTGCTGCCTTCTTTGGCATCCTCATGCACCACATAGTAAAACAAAGGCATTAAATCCTGTAAACTATTGTGGAGAATTAGGTGCCGCGTGCTGGGCCTGAAATATATACTTATAATAAATACCTTTTATATGTTTTAAAACATATTCTTACGTTTTCATTTTTTAAATGACTTGGAAATTTTTCTCTTTTGAAAAATAAAATTTTCGTGTTATTAATTTTTCAAATAATTGTATTTCTCATTTTTAACTTGGATAGCAATTTTTATTGGTAGAGTGCATATAAATGTATAATATAATGAGTAAGCATAGAGTTAGAAGGTAGGGAGACACACTATAAGTATATTTTTCAAACCTTCAAAACGGTATCATTGGGCGTGGGCTCGACTCAATATGGCCGATCCGCCAGAACCGGACTTTTGGGAATGCAACCCAAACCTACATTTTTCTTTTTTTTAGAAAATGTAAGTTATATTTATTAATTATTATGAAACGGATGATTAAGGTTATAATAAGTGATTTTCAGTCATTCGCTAATAAATAAATCGGGGCTTGTTCGGAAAAACGCTAGGACACGTCGATTGGTATATATAGCTGCGCATTTTTTTAACAAAAACTTTTTACACAGTGTGTGTCATGTAACAGTGGCCTATACCAATTTTCTTATTTTAAATGCAACGCCCTGTATATTTTTCAGTTTTTGAATTCTTCAGAAAATTCTAGACATATTTTATGTCCTATACCTAACTCTTTCGGAAATATTAAATGTTTTCCGATTTATTGCAAAAATTAACATTAATAAAATAAAATAATTTGATTACAGAAATTCGTTACAACAGACTCAAAAACTAATTAGTAATACTGTTAATTTCTTGATAATGTAACGAAAAAAAAAACACATCTCAATGTAGAAGATGTTTAAAATGCTCGCCGCGAACCTCTGAAATCTAAATCCTAATCTGAAATAAAAATGTCTTGTAACGTTATTCATGCAACATCTCAGGCGTGACCGATCTAATCGCAAGCGTTATTCGTCTTCTTAATTCAGCTAGGTCGAGAGGTTTAGTTTTGTATGCAATACTTTTGACATAAGAAAAAGTCTAATGATGTCAGATCAGGGGATCGTGCTGACCATTCCATTGATCCTCGCCTGCCGGAAATTGATTTGATAATGGGGCGGTGCTCCATCTTGCTGAAACCATATCATATTCGCTGGAACTTGTGGGTTTGGTGGATCGAGATATAAGTTCGTTAAAGTTGGCACGACATTATTTTGGAGCAGTGCTAAATAATTATCGCCATCAATAAAAAAGGGACCTATGATATGATCGCCAACAATTCCTGCCCAAACATTAACCTTTTTAGGGTATTGCGTATGTTCTTCTCTCATCCAGTGAGGATTTTCCCTAGACTAATAGTGGCAATTTTGACGATTAGCATGACCTTGAAGTGTAAAGGTACACATCAGAAAACAAAATATGTTCTAATTGGATCACCATATTATCTAACATTGCCATCATTTGTTTACAAAATTTGCTTTCTCTTAACAAAGTCGTCTTCCATGAGCTCCTAAGTTGCTATTATTTTATAGGTATGCATTTTATTTTCTTTTAATGTTCGAACAATCAACGAATGGCTAATATTAAACATTGGGGCTGCTTGGAAAATTTTCATGAAATAAGCGAGAAACTTCCATTTGTGTCCGTGTGTTATATCCATAACCAATCATCTGTAGAATTGTTATTTTGATAATTTCTGTTAAATGAACCATTTTTCTGATGTTCAGTTAAGGAAATTTAAACGACTATAACACTGATCTAAAATTAAATAATCAAACACTTGTTAAATAGGTAAGGTATTAAAAGAAAATATATTAGGGCAAAATAACAAATAATATAAATTTATTGTTTATATTGACCACTAAACAATACAATTTTATTATTGTCTTATGCTGTCACATTTTTAATTTTATTTTTAATGAGGAAAAACATCTTAATGTTTGTATATATGTTAGCTGCAGCTTTAATTAATAGTAGGTACTCTCTATTATGGGATGCTGATCAAAACTGTGCAATTTGCTAATATATTTTTATTTATAAATGACTTGTAACACTGAAATCACCACTCATATTCTATTGAAATAAGGTGGATAATTTAAAGTAACAGCTCCTTTTTACTTTCCTATCTGTATACAGATATAAGGAAAGTATAGGAATCATGATTTTTTTCGACCTCGAGTTTTCGACGGATTTTTACGTTTTGAGGTCCCCTGAATCCGTTTTGACTATTTTCGCGATGATGTCTGTGTGTGTGTGTGTGTGTGTGTGTGTGTGTGTGTGTGTGTGTGTGTGTGTGT